GTAAATCTGTGTGTGTCCCTCTCTCCTGGAATTATAAATAAGCAAATGAGAGTGAGACGGGGAAACAAGGAGACTGATAAACTCCTCAAGGATGATTCTGTCTCTACAATACCTAAACTAGTCATTTCTTCAACTGTATGATCAGTATACTTTGGGAGAAAGAGGCAATAGGAAATCTTGCAAGGGTGCTGTTCTTTATGACATTACTAACATTGGATGTTTACAGTAACTGATGAAGTCAATACAGCAGGTGTTTTCCTCACATAAGAAAAATGGCATGAAGTGACATGTGACTGTTCCCTTAAAAGCCTCCAACTGCCACATTTTAGATTCCAATATATGCCATCCTTGCTATTGTCTGGGAAGAAAGCATAGCTGATTGCATATTCCTAAAACACTTTAAAGAAGACTGTCTTAGAAGCTGCTATTGCTTTTAAATGTAAGCATTAGTAGCTGATGTTATTTACAGCTTATTTTATGTACTAATTTTCAGTGCTATTAAGATACGTTATTATGATTCAGAATATTTCAAGTTATAAATCCCCCAAGAACAGAGATCTTATCTTCTTCAAACCCATATTCCCAGAAGGCTTAACACAGTACTGGTATAATGGTTGTTCTAATAAATACTGTTTTCTGAAACAAAAGACTCACATGATGTTGTGATGTTTAGCATCTTATGTTACTCACTATAGTCTACACAACCAGTTGTGTCAGCCCCAATACAAGATAAACTTGTCCTGATAGAGTTCTATCCATTCCTTCAATCATTGACACATAGGAATTGAATGCCTACATTGTGTGTACACGGTAAAGAAATGAATATACAGTGGTCAAATACAGACAAGGTTTCTGCCCTCCAAGAATCGGTACATTTGTGGCAGGAGACAGTTACACATATGCATATGCACAATATGTATGAAAGCAAAAAAAAAATGCTATAAAAGACATAAAAGAGAGTGATATAATGAAGCAACTACTTCAGATAAAATGGTCAGGGAGAGTCTCCTCAAAAAAGTGGCATTTGAGCTAAGAATTAAATGAAGAAAGAAGTTTACAAATAATACGTACTGGAGAAGGTATTAAGAACAGGGGAACTTCCTACACTTCTGGTGGGAATGTAAATTGGTGGAGCCACGGTAGAATGGGCTTCCCTGGTGTCTCACTGGTTAAGAACCCTCATGGCAATGCAACAGATGTAAGGGACGTGAGTCTGATCCCTGGGTTGGGAAGATCCCCTGGAGGAGGGCATGGCAACCCACTTTAGTGTTCTTGCCTAGAGAATCCCCATGGACAGAGGAGCCTCGTGGGCCACAGTCCATAAAGTTACAAAGAGTTGGACATGAATGAAGCGACTTAGCATGCAGGCATGCACTGTGGAATGCAGTATGGAGGTTCCTTTGAAAAGTAAAAATAGAAATATCATAGGTTCTAGGTCTAGCAACTAGGTCTAGCAATAGGTCTAGCAACTCCACTCCTGGGTATATATCTGGAAAAACAAAAACTTAAATGTGAAAAGATACATGCATTCAGTGTTTATAGTAGCATTTATTTGCAAAAGGCAAGCCATGGAAACAACCCAAGTGTCCATCAACAAATGATCAGCTTAAGAAGATGTGGTATATATGTGTGTATACACACACACACACACACACACACACACACATAATGCACTATTACTCAGTCATAAAAAAGGAACAAACTACTGCCTTTTGCAGCAACATGGATGGATGTAGGGAACATTATACTAAGTCATATGTCAGAGAAAGAAAAATAATATATGATATCACTTACATGTATAATCTAAAAACATGATACAAATGAACTTATTTACAAAACAGACCCACAAACATGGAAAACAAACTTTGGGATACCAAAAGGGAAGTGGAAGGAGGGAGGGACAAATAGGAGTATGATATTTACAGATACAAACTACTATACATAGAATAGATAACAAGGATTTGTTGTATAGCACAGAAAATTACGTCCAGTATCTTGTAATAACTTTTAAAGGACTATAATCTGCAAAGAAAAAGAAAATCACTATGCTATACACAGGCTTCCCAGGTGGTGCTAGTGGTAAAGAACCCATCTGCCAATGCAGGAGACATCAAAGATGTGAGTTCGATCCCTAGGTTGGGAAGATCCCCTGGAGGAGGGCATGCTACTCACTCCATTATTCTTGCCTGGAGAATCCCATGGACAGGGGAGCCTGGCTGGCTACAGTCCATAGGGCTGCAAAGAGTCGGGCATGATTGAAGCAACTTAGCACGCATGCATGCTATACACATGAAGTTAACACAACATTGTAAATCAGCTATATTTCATTTTAAAAACATGCAAGAAAACAGATACTGAGTGTTCCAGACAGAGTGTGTTCCAGACAGTGTTCCAGCAAAGGCAAAGGCCCTAAAACCAGGTGATTTCACTGTCACGTGCAAGACATGAAAAGATCAGAAAGGCTAACATATATAAGAGATAAGCCCAATAAGTGGACAGGGACAATGCCACCTAAAGCCTGGAGGAAAGACCATGCAAAGAGTTAGAAATTTATTTTACATTTACTGGGAAGGCATTAGAAGGATAACAAGAAAGTGATATGATCAGATTTATACATCTATTATGCCAAGAAATATTCTGAACCAACAGTGCTTTCAATTACAAAAAAAAAAAAAAAAAAAAANTTACTAATAAAAACAACCCTAGTTTCTTGCCAAAGACTCCAGCTCACCAATGTCTTCCTGTGCAGAGCTGGAATCAGTTCATGGATGAAGAAAGTGCATCCCTGGGGGGGGCAGAGCTCTGTTCCCCCAGGCATACCATTCAGCATGGCAGAGAGAAATCAGTAGGTGAGGTGGCTATGACTTCTGTCGTCCTAGCAGGGACATTTATGACAGTGACAGGGCACGACTGATAATTACATCAGAACAGGCATAAAGTGGGATTGTCCCTGGCATTTGGGATGTAGGGTCACCTTTGACTTAGGCTTGTGTCTCTACTTGTACCAAATAAGCTATGAGGCCAGAACCAAGGTGTTACCCTTTCTGTGACTGTATTTCTTTATTGGACAGATGAACTATGGTTGCATTTTCTCATTTACTGAACACCAATTACCAAAGTGTCACACTGGAGAGACAGAAGAATAACCCTTATTTTATGTTTATAGACTAGTCCAAGAACAATAAACTGAACAATAGAACAGCTACAGAAACACATGCCAGGATAGAAGCTCTAGAGTTAGCAGAGAAAAGGAGAGAGAACTCCTATGAAGATGTCAAAGAACGCTTCATGGCGATCTGGTAAAACCTGAGCTGAAGTTAGGAAAATGAATGGAAATTCATTTTCGAATCAACATGATCAGCTCTGAGTCAGAGCTCTGCTCCATTCCACCCAGAGAGGGTCGGCACATGCAAAGGTGCAGAAGTGTGCCACACTATGGCACGTCTTAGGAAGTTATCAGTAGCGTCAACGAGGTGATCTCCATGGTCTTTCATGAACAAAAAGCTAAGAATTCCATATTTATTGATAGCAAATACAGTTTTTAAAAGTGAAAGTTTTGTTTTTAGCCCCCAAATATAATATCACATATGTCAATATTCTATCTTTCTATCTCCAATAACAACAGCCATTTGATCCATTCCTATTCACATAACATCTATCTACTACAAGTTACACATATGCAGAAGTTCCTGGACGTGTGTAAAGGAATTATATGAAGACCCAGATAAATGTAAAGCTCTCCGTGAAGTTGCAGATCATTGCTTTAACAATAAAATGAATAGGAATGGAGTATGGGGCAGAGTGCTGAGTATGCAGAAACACATGAACATTTCCATTTTACACACGAGATAACTGAGGTACAGTTTAGATGAGATCTTGCCACATACTTAGTCATGGCAGAGCTGGAATCTGACTGGAGGGAGTCTGGCTCAAGGGTCTATGCCTGCAACAACTACGCTGCATGCCTTTCAACAGTAATACCAAGACTGCAGTGGACAAGCTATGTGCTTACTGTTCCCTAATTCATCTCTGCTTCAGAGCTCAACTCAGGGCAGAAGTTGTAAAAACACTGATTGGTTCTTAGCAGCAACCTTTAGGAGGAAAAAAAAAAAAAAGATACGCAGTGAGCAGAGACAATGGATTTTCAAAATCAAATTTCCACTTTCTAATTCAGCATTCTGAACTTTGAGAACCCATGGTCAGAATGCTTGCCCTCTGGGTCAGCTCAAATCAGCATTAAGAATTCAGCTGAGTCCACATGACATGAAATAACTGGATTGGTTAAGGTTCTCATGGAAACAATTACATTCTTGATCAGTTGTTTGGATTTCATGAAAGGTATAAGGTCTTAAAGGTGAAGAACTCCATCTGTTAACTTCCCCTGTTCAGCAAGTAACAGAACCATAAGCAGAAAAGCGATTAAAGGAGACCTTGCAAAGATGATGGCAGCGGTAATAGCAACAATAATAAGGTTAATTTGACTCTATTATATTTGTGCATCAATCCAAAGCTTATAATCTTTAAATATATGGCATCCCATTTAAATCTAATAATATAAATATGTGCATTATTATCCTCATCTTTATATATTCACAGATGAAGGCTCAGAGAGGTGCAGTGACATTTGTAGTACAAGAGCTGAGATTTAAACTGAACTTTCTACGTCCGGTAATATTTCCTTTTCTCCCACAGCTGCATCTCAAACTGCAAAAAATTCTAGCAAGTCATCAAGGTTTCCTTCAGAAAGAACTAAACACCACAGGCCACAGACCCAGGCTTTGTCCTCTGACTGCCCTAGTTTTTGAATAATAGTTCTAAAACTCTACATTGCATAATCCCTGGCCTGCTCCCTGAATTGCAGAGGGAGCAAATTTGAAAACTGATGAGTTTAACCAGTGAGGGGTCATATTTTAACACTGGGAGCTGAATAGACTACCAAAGCAGGCTGCCTTTCCTGCAAAGGTCCAGAGCGATGGAGGGCATGACTGAAAGCTGCTTACCAACACAGGACTCCCCGGACAGTGAATAAGTCCCATCGTCATGGAAACCGCTTCTGCACTCACAGTGGTACCACCCTGGCAGGTTAACGCAGCGGGAATGGTTGTGGCACTCAATGATCCCCTCTGCACATTCATCAATATCTGCCTCAGAGAAAAACACAAGCCCACCATGACATTAATTTCTTTTGACACTAACCTTTTAATAAACACCTAACATACCTAACATGCTCATGTCAACATATTGATTAAAACCGGTCAGTCACCTAAAATGAAAGTAACTGGAAGAACCAAGTCCCACCTTTCCCCCCAGAATTCAAACAAAATGAAAGCTTCTCTCTCATGAATTGAACAATGGATGAGAGCTGAAAGTCATGAAGACATTTCTAGCTGCATATGCTGAATCACCAGAAACTAAATTGAGGCTGTCTGGCACAGGTATGTTATTCAGAGAAGATGATTCTTCTCTGAATTGATTCCAAAAGAGTAACTCCAGATATTACTTGGTATTCTTTGAGAATATAAGTGAACAAATAGATCCAGGGACCTCTGTCTTAAACAGTGTTAAGCTACTAATTTTTAGATTTCAGTCTGAGATTTAACATATTTATATGCTCTGTAACTTAGAGAGGAGAATCATAATATGCATTGTTTCCCATATTTATTCAGCTGAAGAGTGCTTTTTCTTTGGATTGTAGCTTATGAAACTAAGTTTTGGGGGAGCACAATTTGAGAAACACTGTTCTATCTCTCTCTACAACTGCTGATACACTTAATGACTTGATTTATGATAGTCAATCAGAGCTACTCATTCTTCAGTCATTCCTCATTAAAGGAAGTATTCTAGGCTCTATTTGCTCTAGAATCTGGCTTCATACAATCAGCAAATGAATGTATCACTCAGATTCTCTAGCCCAAAGACTTGCCTCTGAGCTGAAGGAAAGTGATACCCCTGCAGAAAGATGAGCTGTTGATTGTCATGGTATGCTCAGCTCATCTTACGTAGCCTCTTCAGGTAATTATTTCTTGTAATATAGCAATTGCTGGCTGGGAATCTTCCCCTATTTCTCCTGGAAATACCTGTACTACAGCAGTCTTATATAAAAAGAAATTAAATTAATACCAATATATAGCACATGAAAACCACATGATAGAATGAAAACCATAGTCACAGAAAACTAATCAAACTATTCACACAGGCCACAGCCTTGTCTGACCCAATGAAAGTATAAGCCACGCTGTGTAGGGCGACTCAAGATGGATGGGTCATGGTGGAGAGCTCTGACAAGATGTGGTCCATGGGAGAAGGGAATGGCAAACCACTTCAGTATTCTTGCCCTGAGAACCCCATGAACAGTATGAAAAGGCAAAAAGACAGGACAGAAAGATGAACTTCCCAGGTCCAGTGCCCAAAATGTTACTGGAGAAGAGCGAAGAAATAACTCCAAAAAGAATAAGGAGACAGAGCCAAAGCGAAAACAGCACCCAGGTGTGGATGTGATGGTGACAGAAGTGAAGTCCGATGCTGGAAAGAAGAGTACTGAAAAGGAAATTGGAACGTCTGGTCCATTAATCAAGGTAAACTGGAAGTGGTCAAACGGGAGATGGCAAGAGTAAACATAGACATTTTAGGAATCAGTAAACGAAAGTGGATTGGAATGAGTGACTTTAATTCAGGTGACCATTATATCTACGACTGTGGGCAAGAATCCCTTAGAAGAAATGAAGTCACCCTCATAGTCAAAAAAAGAGTCTAAAATGCAGTACTTGGCTGTAATCTCAAAAATGACAGAGTGATCTCTGTTTGATTCCAAGGCAAACCATTCAATATCATAGTAATCCAAACCTATACCCCCAATCAGTAATGCTGAAGA